TAGTGAACTCTCGATTTTCTAGATCTAATGAACTCTCGATTTTTTTTTTTCGAATCTTTTTGTTTAATGAAACCCTCCAGATCTCATTTCCAGTGAACCCCATCACAACCGAGCTTTATAAAATATGAACAACTTGTTTGTTTTTAGTGTTTGTGTGTGTAAGGGAGTTGGGTTTAAAACAAAGACACAACCACAAAAATCGATTTTTAGATCTGTTCCTAGAATCAAAGCACTTAAAATCTAGGTTCTTGAAGCTCTTGATCGAGTTTTGGGACAAATTGATTCTCAACAACACACATATAGATCGATTTTCATTAAAACACATATATAAATGTTTCTAAGTTTTCCGACAAGCACAAACACATTTATAATGAACTTAAGAATAAGTCATTTATAAATCTTTCAACTAATTTCCTCCATTTTTAAGTTTCTCGGATTAATTATGGGACACCCATTATTTTTCTTAAAATCCAACAATAAGTTGATCGAATTAGCTTATGTTGAATAAATATTCATGAATTCCTTGAAAACTTACGATGATCGGTATCTCTACATTTTCTTATGTCAGTCAATATCAATATCACTAGGTTTAATTTGGGAGAAATTGGTGTGTGGGTACAGGGGAATTGTGAAAGGTTAACTTCCACCCACAAGGTGTTCGACATAATGGCAACATATAATATAGTAGTCAAAATCAATAATTATGATACATGCTCTTCATTTTAGTTATATTTCTAATAGCCATAACCAAAGGAAACCCGTATTATATTAAGGAGGAGCCTCGTGAAAAATCAACAAGAATGTCATTGTAATTACCAGCAGAGAACCCAACAAGAGTGTTAATTTGTTGCCAGGAAATCAAGAAAATATGAGGAAACTACAACAACGGTATGAGATAAAGAAACAATCTTTTCCATTATTTGGAATCGATAGGGGTAAAAGAAGGTCATTTGGGTATAGCTCGAAGGTGAAACTAGCTGATTTCTCGATCTTTCTATGTATGATTCATATATTTGTCCATCAACTTTATGAAACTACTTTCTAGTAATCACTTAGTGGTTTGTGTATTTTACACAATTCCAATTCTATCGGAATGGAATCACGAATTCAAATTCTATCAGAATGGAAACACGAATTCTAATTCTGTTGGAATGAAATATGGATATTTTCTCATTGATTATACATGTTCTACAATTTTTGGTTATTGGTTTTGGTGCAGTTAACAAGTCCACATTTTTTTCCAAAGGAATATAGTTTTTTATTTATCATTTGCTAATGCGTTATTGGATTCTAAACTACAATTGGATTTGTTTTAACAGAAGTTGATGCTTGAAGAATGGAAAACAAAATTGAAATTGTTTCTTAGCAACATTATTCTTTTAGAATGAATTAGTGTATTTGTTAGATTTTGATGTTTTTTTTTTCCGATTTGAAAGTTTTTTAGTTTTATTCTTTAACAATAAATGTAATTCTTAGCAATTGTTACATGTATTCTATAAGAATTAATGTAATTTTTGTTTTAATTCTTCAATTGGCGGTTCGAAAATTTTGTTATTCTACAAGAACACTTTAAAGTCATGATCAAGAAATATGTTCAAGAATATTTTTATTATTTTATGGTTCAAGAATATTTTTATTTTTGAACATACTCAAACATATTCTGTCAGAATGTCTGAATTAAAAACTTTATAATTCGTAAAATCAGATTTTTAAAATTAATAGAATCTATGATCCCTTAAAATATGCAAATTTCCTTTATTAGATCTATATTAATTGACTAAAATACCCTTCTAGTTAAATTAGATGGTATTTTTCAATCATATTTAATTTAATAATACGTATTAATCACTTTCTTAAAATAAGTAAAATAATTGACCACAATCATTCGTACATTCACACAATAATTATTTAGAATATAATAACCTAAGTCTATATATATATATATATATATATATATATATATATATATATATATTTAGGTTTATTTTCTATGGAAAACAAAAAACCCTAAAAATCATAAAAATGCATAAAAAAATACTTAGAGATCACAAAACTTTTTTAAAAATTTTTTTTATAAAAAACGCAGCTTTTTATTAAAATTGGCTGAAAAAAAAAATAAAAAATCAATTTTTTTTTAATAAAAAAAAGTTTCAAAATTTTTTTCAGCGAATTTCTTTAAAAACCTGCGATTTTTTCATAAAAAATGTCAAAAAAAGTTTTGTGATCTCTAGGTATTTTTTTTATGCATTTTTATGATTTTTAGGGTTTTTTTGTTTTCCAAATAACCTTTCCCTATATATGTATATATATGTATATATATATATACATATATATATATATATGTATATATATATATACATATATATATATATATATATATATATATATATATATATATATATATATATATATATATATGGAGTGGTTCAAATGAGAACCCAAAAATGTTAAGAACCATAAGAACCATCTTTTTCAAATGTCATCGTTAAGGACATTTTAAATAAATCCAACATTTATATTGTATTAAGCAAACTTTTCCATTATCTAGTTTATAATTAGTTGTCATTTGTCATCGGACCACCGTCTGATCGTCACCGGACCACCACCAGACTGTCACTAGAATAACACCAAATTCAATGACATTTTTCTAATCGTATTCATAGCTTAATAGAACAAACATTGTAGCTCTCATTTCTTTGGTAATACTCAACCAAATATAGAAAATTTAATTAAAAAATAAAATTATGTCTTGATAAATTCAATTTTCACTCTTTTAAATTGTAGATTTAAAAAAAACATGTATCGCTTATAAGACATATTTACAGTCTAAAATAACATATGCACAGTTTAATAAACATATTAATTCATTAATAAGCATTTTAATAATTCCATGCATACATTCATTCATATTTTAACACATATTTTGTAACACCTGTTCCAGGTATTAATTTAAATTTCTAATTTTAGGGTTTTGGTACTGGGACTCGACGAGTTGGGAGCTCCGACTCATCGAGTAGAGGCTATTATGAGGAAGCGGGAGTTGGGTCCTACTCGACGAGTCGGAAGGCCCGACTCGACGAGTAGGAGCTGTAAAGAGAAACCCTAATTTTTAGGGTTTGCACCCTATATAATCTCCTTAAAAACCTTGAGGTTGACCTTCTATCGGCCTCCAAACCCTAAGAACGTCTGTGCTAAACCCTAATCCCCATTCTCTTTCATTTTGTGAGCTAGAGTGACTTGTGGAGCTTAAGAAGAAGGAGATAGTGAGAAGAAGAAGGATACATTTTCAACATCAAAGTTTCATTACTAGTAACGAGAATACGGAGACAATAAAATCTGGATGGAAAAATATTCTTCTTCTTTCTGTAGAAGTGAAAAGTTTTCAATTTTAGCTTTTGTAATATCTTTCTATAATATTATTAGATCGAGAAATAGACAGATTATAACACCCCATTTTGTAATATTATAGTGCTAGGAAGGAGGGGTGTAGTCTTTGAATTCAATTATGTAATGGAAACTCTTGTTAATGTTGGTAAATTAATGTATGGGAAAGTAGTGTTATTTTGAAATAGAACTTGTTGTTAGTTCTAAAAAGCTCCTTGCCCGATAGTCAATTTTTGTGATAATGAATGTTGGACCTAATGGGATCTAAATGACTAATTCTTGATCTTAAAATGTAGCGACGACAATATGGATCGTGTAAGCGAAAGAATCAGCTAAAGCAGAGTCTGTATAAGAAAGATATGCACATTTGAATTTGGAGATGGAATTAGGCTTAAGTGAATGAAAATACATTGTCTAAATCATTTTAATGCAAAACATGACCGTGTAATGACGATGAAGTATGTAATGCATGATTTTGTGAAGTACGGACAAATCTTGAATTATACTGAAAGGCTTATGTGAATTATCTAAGTTTTTATTGATTTAATATTTATGGTTAATTGTGTTGATATTTATTTTTTCTATGATTATGCTACTTACTAAGCTTGCATTGCTCACCCTTTCTCTGTTGTGATGCCTTCGAGACCGGTACCGCACCGCCGATAGAAGCCCTATAACTGACTGTGTAGTTTTGTGTTTTTACTGTAACGGAATTGTAATACCCGGATTGATCTCTTGATATAGTTTGTTTAATGATATTTTGGTAACTTTTTGTATAGTGTAAAGTTAATATGAATGTACACATAATTGGTTGTGTTTTCTCAGGAAAAATTGGGTGTACTTTGTATTATTTTATCGAGTGTTACATTGGTTTTGTTGATTTTACTTAACGTGGCTTGTTGTACTGGTGAATTGCTTATTGGTCTTCTATTGGGTCGAGTATGTATTCCAATACATATACATTGTTTTTTGGTTTCCCAATATTAAAAAAGTTCTTTTGTTACTCTAGTGTGAGTGTATGATTTACTAGATAGTTCATAAAAAGCTTTGTTGAATTTAAATGTATTCATAATGTGTATAGAGTATGTAGCTAGTATTTTCGGTTTGGATTTCTATGATGTGTTGTTTGATGCATATATAAAAGAAAGCAGTAGTGGTGATGGCGGTGTGGATAATTATGATTGATAATGGTGGTGATTGCTTTTGACAATGGTGATTGATGGTCGTAGGCCGATGGTGATGATGGTGAGTAGTGTGGATGATAATGGTGATTAGTGATGGTGGGCTAATGGTGATTAATGATGATGATTGTTGTTGATTCATATTGGTGACAGTGGTGAGTGTGGTGGTGGGTTGATTAGGATCATTACAAAACTGTTCCATATAGTTTAGAAAAAAAATCAAATAACAAAAAAAATAAAGAAACAAATGAGGGGCATATTGGTCTTTTAACTTTGACTTAAAAGCTAATATATAACAAACTCAGGGACCTTTGCAAGATTTAAAAACCATATAGTACCAAAAGTATGAATTTTAGCAAACTCCACGTACCAAATGTGTAATTTCACTCTAAATTTTCTTTCCTTTGTGAGTAATTTTGTCCAAACTAGTTTTGTACATTGCAAAAGGACCTGATTTGGATGCTGCTGTCACAGTAATCGCGTTCTTTCTTTGAATGCCGATGAGAGGTGGATGCGCTGCTTTGTTACGCATGCGCCTTCCTTCTACTCCTACTCGCAAAGGTACTCTTCTATCCAGTTCCTCTTCCTCAATCAACACTTCGTTTTTATTATCATTAGGGCTCCATAATTCCATGGACAATAATCAATTATCCTTAAATTCAAATCCGAAATCGCTTTCAACCACACCTGCAAAATCTGATCGAATTATTAAAAGCATCGATAACCTCGATGATGATGAGTTCTCGTTTCATCAAATGATCCATAAGAAGCCTCTGCCATTGTTAAGCGAATTCAACAGACTCCTTGGAGTAATTGTAAAGAAGAAGCGTTACTCCACAGCGATTTCCTTGATCAATCAAATGTTGTTCTTGCGAATATCCGTTGACGCGTATATGATGAACATTGCGATAAACTGTTTCTCTCATTTACGAAGAATCGATCTAGGGTTTGCTGTGTTTGGTTGCATTGTTAAATGTGGTCATGAACCACTTGTGTCTACTTATAATACTCTATTAAAAGGTTTAGTGTTATCAGATAAGGCTTTTGAGGCTGAACATTTGTTCAAGAAGCTGATCAAAGAGAAAATCTGCGAACCCAATGAAGTTACATATGGGACAATCATGAATGGGATTTGTAAAGCTGGAAACACTAAAATCGCCATTGAATTACTTAGATTTATGGAGAAAAGAGGTTGTAAACCTAACAAGGAAATATATACCACAATCATAGATAGTTTTTGTAAGGAGAAAAAGGTGGATGATGCTTTAAAACTCCTCACACAAATGATTGATAAAAGAGTTTCTCCAAATGTCATTACTTACAATTCCTTGATTTATGGTCTGTGTAGTGTAAACAGATGGGAAGAAGCCAAGGAAATGATTATAGAAATGGATAAAAGAAAGATCAATCCTGATGTGTTTACTTTCAATACATTTATAGATGCATTTTGTAAAGAAGGAATGGTGGAAGATGCTGAAAGTGTTCTTCATGTCATGATAGAAAGAGGTGAGAAACCAGATGTTGTCACTTATAGTTCATTAATTGATGGGTATTGTTTGAGAGGTGAAATGAAAAAAGCCATGGGAGTTTTCAACACCATGATTGATAAAAAAATCAAACCCAATATTATCACTTTTAACACCTTAATAAATGGGCATTGTAAAAGATCAAACATAGATGAAGCAATGAGAGTTTTCAAGGAGATAACTCATAGGAACTTAGAACCCACAGTTTCAACTTACAGCACTATTTTATATGGATTGTTTAAGGTAGGAAGATGTGAAGATGCTCTAAAACTATTCGAAGATATGCAATTTATACCCCTAACTCCAAATTTCATCACTTATTCAGTCTTATTAGATGGACTATGCAAAAACAATAGAGTCAATGAAGCATTATCTTTCTTTCGTGATATAATGAAGAAAGGTGTAAATCCTAATGTTGCTTTGTACACTGTTCTTATTGATGGTAGTTGTAAAAATGGGAAGCTTGATGTAGCTTTAGATCTTTTTAGTGAATTGTGTTCAAAAGGTTTGCAACCGAATATTGTGACATATAATGCTATGAATAATGGGTTTTGTATAGAGGGAATGATTGAGGAAGCGAAAGAACTTGTTATAAAAATGGAGAAAAATGGTGTTGTTCCAAATAGTTCGACTTATAACATTCTTCTTCAAGGGATTGTGAAGTGGAGAAAACCTAAAGATGTGTTGTTACATTTGAAGGAAATGGATGCAAAGGGGTTTTCGTTTGATGCATCTTCGTTTTATTTGCTACTTCATATGAATCCAACAAAAAAACAAGATTCTAACTTTGCTGAATTGATTAGGAAACTTGCACCACAAGATATATTGAAATATAAATTCCGATTAGTGAAATAGCATGTGAGTTGTTACATTGTGAGAAGAATGTCTTTTATTTTGGATAAGTTAATAACCATTGGCTATTTTTTAATAAAGATTTTGACATGAAAGTACTTAAGTTTGTCAAGTTTTGTTGGTTTTGTCTTTGTTAATGCCCAAAGTTTGGTAAGATTTTTCATTTTTCCTCTTAAGTTTACAAATTTGCAAAAATTAACCTTAAGTATGAAATCAAGTTTGCAAAAAAAAAAAAAAAAAACTTAAGTTTACAAATCTGTTATGTTTTTACTCTTAAGTAAACTTTTCAAATTTGACATAAAAGTCGTTAAGTTTGTCAAATTTTGTCAGTTTTGTTCCTGTGATGATTTTTGTGCGTTAATATCCAAAGTTTGCCAAGTGTATTTTTCCCTTAAAGGTTACAACTTTGCAAAAATAAGAAAAACCTAAAGTATGAAATCAAATTTGGAAAAAAAAAATTAAGTTTACAAATTTTTTATGTTTTTACCTTAAGTGTATTTTCAGATTTGACATAAAAATCCTTAAGTTTGTCAAATTTTGTTAGTTTTATCTCTGTGGTGATTTTTGTGCATTAATGCCCAAAGTTTGCTAAGCTTTTTTCAATTTTTTCCCTTATTTTTACAAATTTGCAAAAATTAACCGTAAGTATGAAATCAAATTTGCAAAAAAATAAACTTAAGTTTATAAATCTTTTATGTTTTTATCCTAAGTATATTTTTCAAATTTGAAATGAAAGTCCTTAAGTTTGTCAAATTTTGTTAGTTTTGTCCTCGGAAACTTGCCAATACAGGTAACAAGGGCAAAAATGAAAAAAAAAAAACTTGGCAAACTGTGGACATTAAAGAACAAAAAATCGTCACAGGGACAAAACTGACAAAATTTGACAAAGTTAAGGACTTTTATGTCAAAATCCCTTTCTATATATGATGTCAAAGTGTATCATGCAGGTTCAGTTTCGACTTTTCTAATGGTCATGTAGAACTGTTAAAGGGTAAATGAGTCCTTTGCTGTAAATCTGTAATGCAATTGAGAGATTTGCTTGAGACGTAGCTTCTGAAAAAACCCAAACATAGAGGATTATGAGCGTTGAGGTAAGTTTTTTTTTTTTTTTTTTTTTTTTTTTTTTTACTGTAAATAAATGTTGTTTACTTTTCTGCAAAATCTAAAGTTTTTTATGTTATTTTCATTAAATATTGCCTGGACAAATGATGTTTTAACTTCAGATGACAGCATGTTGCATAGGATGTCCAAAAAACATGATTTTTTTTTGTGGATCAGGTCCTTGCAAAACTTGAAATGACTATTTATACCCCTTTAATTTATTTGGATCCTCTTTTAACATGCAAAACTCTTTTCGTTTGTGGTGTGTCAACATGCAAACTGCCTTTAGTGTCTGAAATTACAAAATTCCCTTTGTTCTTTGCAGGTTAAAAAATTTGGATGATAAGGATGCGAGGGCATTTATGTCTTTTACCACCTTTTTGGGTGGGACAAAAGGTTGCAAACCATATTATATTGTGGCATTGGAAAGTTGTAATGGGAGTCGATTTGTACATAGTGAAGGGATAGTTATATAGAAAGTGGAAATAAACTTAAAGATTGCAATGAAGAAATGGTCAATGTCATAAAATAGTAAACCCAATTTTATATTTTGTTATGCTTAGATAACTCAAACCTCTTTAAGAGTTTCAACCACTAGATTTTCAATTTTGCTTGATTTAAAAAAAATTTGTTCACATGTTTCGCTTTTCTGGAATTTTGTAATATGTTTTATCTTTTACAAATTAATGTATGTGTAAATATTTTAGACGTGCCATTTATATATATATCTTTTTTCTTAAAACATGGAATTTATAAAATATTCAAACCTAAAGGAAAGGTCAAAGAGTTCGAGTCTTGACGTGAGTTTTGATTGTAATATGGATTGATATACTTATGTGCATCGACATATGGGAAATTATATATGCCAACCGTGTTTATATATATATATATATATATATATATATATATATATATATATATATATATATAGGGAGTGGTTCAAATGAGAACCAAAAAAGGTTAAGAACCGTAAGAACCTCTAACTTTAGATGTTTATAAAGGGTTTAGGGTAACCCTAAACTTTAAACCCTAAACCCTTTATAAACATCTAAAATTAGAGGTTCTTACGGTTCTTAACCTTTTTTGGTTCTTATTTGAACCTATATATATATATATATATATATATATATATATATATATATATATATATATATATATATATATATATATATAGGGAGTAGTTCAAATGGGAACCCAAAAATATTAAGAACCATAAGAACCATCTTTTTAAAATGTTATCATTAAGGATATTTTAGATAAATCCAATATTTATATTGTATTAAGCAAACTTTTCCATTATCTAGTTTATAATTAGTTGTCATTTGTCATTGGATCACCGTCGGATTGTCACCGGACCGTCCGGACTCCCACCAGACTAACACCAAATTCAATGACATTTTTTTAATCGTATTCACAGTTTAATAGAACAAACATTGTAGCTCTCATTTCTTTGGTAATACTCAGCCAAATATAAAAAATTTAATTAAAAAAATAAAATTATGCCTTAAAAAATTCAATTTTCACTCTTTTAAATTGTAGATTTTAAAAAAATGTATCGCTTATAAGACATATTTATAGTCTAAAATAACATATGCCGAGTTTAATAAACATTAATTCATTAATAAGCAGTTTAATATTTCCATGCATACATTCATTCACATTTTAACAAATATTTATATAATATATACAACTTAATACAATCCATTTTTAGTTTAATACATAAAATTCACAACATAATACAATCCATTATATACTAACCACCACCATATATATATATATATATATATATATATATATATATATATATATATATATATATAGGCTTAGGTTATTTTATTTTTACTAACTATTGTGTGCCAGAATGCACAGATCTGGACCACCGGATGGAATAAAATCAAATGTCATGATCTGAGGGTCTATGATATTAGAATATGATAACATGTTTCCGGTGATATTGTAAAGTATCAAATTCAAAAGAACTACTGACATTAAAAAAGTGAGAATCAAATTATTGAGAGACCAATTCGACAATTCCTAGAAAAATATTAAAACTTACCTGAAGGTGAAGTTATGTGCCGTCGCTGAAGCCACAAAGGGGTGGTGGCTAGAAAGTGGAAACCGGAGGAGTGGAGGCGTGAGGACCTTTGATCGAGCAGCAATGGTGGGGATCGTATTCATAAACATCAAAAATTGAATAACCAAAAATCGATTAGCATTTTATTCTCAAAAGAAATTCAATTGAAAAAAATCGAAAATTGAATTTAAAAATAGAAATTGAGTTGAAAGCATCCCAGGCCCAAGATGTTGGTGTACGGAAGCGACTGTGGAGCTATTTCGACAATGGATAATCGAGCCGACAGTGGAGGGGGAGGAGATATTTCGATTGGAGAAAAGATGCAAAGAGGAAAACAAGCCCTAGGTTGAAACAGAGTGGTCGTTCGATGCAGACGAAAAAGAGGGTGATATCTAGGGTTTTAAACTGATTCCATTATTTAAAGGAGGCATTAAATGATTTATTATTTTTTACCATAATTAGATATACTTAGTTTACCATTATACCCTTTTTTAATCTATTTAATGATTTATTATTTCCTAAATTCTCATTGGTGAATACATGCACACAATAGTTGCTAGAAACATTTAAATCTCTCCCTTTCATCCCTCCTTCTACCACCGGCAGCCTCATGTCGTCGCTGTCACCGCTGATGTCCGCCCTACTAACGGCTAGCTGGAATCTAAGTCGGCACCGATGTTGCCATCTAGATATGTTATTTTTACTCCACATGCACTAGATCCACCACTAGCGTCATCCTCATACATCTCTAGGGATTTCCACCAGTAACCGCCACTACAGACGACGACCGCAACACCACTGATGACGTCCGAGGTCAGATCACGAGCTCCGACGTGCGCTGAGACATATCACTGTTGTCACCGATGAGTTGAAAACTTTGATGATGTTATAATTGTAAAAGGAAGATGAAGATCATATTAGTGTAGAGAGAGTTGTTGATATTATGGAGATTCTCGAACTACTATAAGGTACATATGATGAGATTAATGTTATCATTTTTCTCCCGTGTATATTTTTTTATCAATTAAGTTCAAACGTTTCCTAATTGCTAGCTAACATATAGCTTTTTTACTAGCTTACATATAGCCATATAACTTCTTTTACCTTTTATTGATTCAAACAGATGGAGTTATTATTAACAATTCGTTAATAGCAGGGTCAGCCCTAAGGGTATGCAAGGTGTGCAGCCGTACAAGGCCCAGAAAAAAATAGGGCCCCGATTTTAATTAAATTTATCTAGTCATTATATGTATATATATTATTTTGTTCAAGTTAGAAACTAAACTTTGGTTAGCTTAACTGGCTAAAGCGCTCATCTATGCGCCTATATTTTCTGTGTGACATGGGTTCGATCTAGGGATGAGAATTTGGCCCGAAAACCCAAAACGAACTGAAAACCGAACCGAACCGCACCGAATTAGACCCGAATAAGCAATTCGATTCGGTTTTCGGGTATCTATATAAGGCTTATTCGGTTTCGGGTTATTCGGTCTGGGTTACTCGAATACGGGCTTATTTGGTCCAAAAGGACCGAACCGACAATAGTGTTACTAGCGTATTACACCAAATCGACGAGTCGATGACATTACTCTTTGATCGATTGAGGTTTTTCTCATCCTTGTGACATTACTCTTTGATCGATAGTTGCAGCTGCTGCCCTTACGACTTGGGATAACCTGGACTCATTGATCGATCATAACTAGTTCAAAGTTCAAACTTCAAAGTCCATTCACGATAAGAAACTCAAGTAAATATTTGTATCTTAATCTACTACTCAATCTTTCAATGTGTTGTTATGTATGTTACTCATTGAAATTTGAATGTGTTAATCTACTACTCAATGTTATTACGTATGTTATCAATTGAAATTTGAATGTGTTATGTTAACAGTTAACATTTTCTCTATAAGTCCAAGAAATGGGGACTTTGACCTTGAATGAGAACCTTAATGAGAGAATTTAATGAAAACAACCATATATGTTCTTTTACTTGTTTCATTCCATATTGATGAATCTATTTAAATGTTAAAGAACCTATATTGCTATTCTATTATATTAAAATGACTTTGTTATTGTGCTTTAGATTGATGATGTAGATGTGTTTGTTGATAACACTCAAGTTGAAGAAACAAATCAAGCAACAAAGCCGAAGAAAAGGAAATATGCCCAAAGGGCGGCTTGTTGGGCCGATTATGATGTAGTTCATATTGACAAAGTTAGACATAGCAAATGCAAAAAGTGTGGAACTTTGCTCAAAACCGAATCCGTCGGAAACGGTACTTCTAGTATGATTAAACATACGGAAAGATGTAAAATGAACCCAAAAAATTTAGAAAAAAAACTAGAAAACTAAACCACTTTAAATTTCAAAAAAAAATGAAAATGGGGAGAATAGTTTTGGGACTTGGAAGCATGATGAGAAAAGAATAAAAAAAGCCTTATTAAACTTATTTGTAGTTGGAGAACTACCGTTCAAGTTTGTAGAGAATGAATCATTTATTGAGTATACAAATGCATTGAACGGGAAAGTAGTTTTGCCATGTAGAACCACAATTTCAAATAGAGTCACCGATTACTTTCTTGAAGAAAAGGCTAAGTTGTTTAAGTTCTTTAGTAATCCCCTAAGTAATGTGCATTTGACCACCGATTGTTGGACAAGCTCATGTCAAAGGTTGAGCTATATGGTGGTCACGGCCTACTTTATTGATGAAGATTGGGTCATGCACAAAAGAATTATCAACTTTAAATTTCTAGATAGTCATAAGGGAGAAGAAATTGGGCGCACGTTGTTGACTTGTCTTCAAGAGTGGGGTATCAATAACGTAATGACCATCATCGTAGACAATGCTAGTGCGAATGACAAAACAATTGAAATTCTAATGAAAAAACTATCAAACTTGTACGATGAGGGGAAACAATTACACGTAAGGTGTATGGCCCACATCCTTAAACTTATTATTAGGGATGGTGTTGATCAATATCAATCTAGTATCAAGTGCATGCAAAAGGCTGTTAAATACATTAAGAATTCTACACAACGGATTCAAAGGTTCAAAGAATGCATGAAAGAGCTAAATGTGGAATCCAAAAAGTTTGTGTGCAATGATAGCCCAACTCGATGGAACTCCACATACGAGTTATTGAAGATTGTGGTGGAGTTGGAGAAGGTTTTTGGCATGTTTGAAGTCAAAGGTAATTTCATATTCCATTCCATTGTTTTTTTTTTTTTTTTTTAATTTCAGCATGGTTGCAAATTTTTAGCTAACTTTGAAGTGTCATAACATCTTTGTTATTTGTCCGATTTGCCCGATTTTTTTTTCCAGCTTGTAGTTTTCAATTTGAACTACAGTTTACACAATTTAAATGCGTTATTTGGTTGTATATTTAGTGAGATACAGACTCCTAAATAAGGGGTATTAAAGCTGTTTTTTTTTACAAAAAAAAAAAATACTAACATTTACTTTATTATAATAGATCTTACATTTGTTCGAGATGTTTTAACCTCCTCAAAAGAAGAATTCAA